CGAATGTACAAAGAGTCGATCTTGCTCGTCTAAATGGCCCTTAGCAATTCTATTTCATTTCCATACATCAGGATTGCTCTAGCTTTGCTTTCATTATGATACCTCTTGTTGCTAAGGATTTGACAGAGAAGCTACATTTTGAAGTTATTTTCGCAAAGCATTTGCAAAGTTTACATACAGCCAGGGACAAATAAATACTAATCTCTTCATCCTTAGACGAAAACAAATAAGAAAAAAAAATATATTCGGTTTTCGCGAAATATTTTATACCCACAAAACTAAAACCTGATGCCGGGTAAAATAAACCGGCTGTTGGTCGTGTGCTCATTTTTGTATAACCGCAAATTTTGGCCCTTCTGTAAATCTACAGATTACGCGTAGAAATCTTAATCTTTTCATCGACTTGACATGTTTTCAACAACGATGAATATTTGCTGGATGTGTTTTGAGGTCAATATAATATTTATAATAATACGATCGAACGAATGTTTGCATACACAGGCGATCCAAATTTTTTATCAGAAATTTTACTATCACAAAAACAAAACTCAAATGAAACTTTACCTATAGGCTCGCAGGCTTATGTTAGCGGATCACATTTGGAAATGGGCGAAACGGATTCGCTTGCTTTGAAAAAAGCAGTTTTAATTTTTTGTTTTATTTTTTTAATATAAGTTCTTATAGATATTTAAATTAAAGTGTTTAATACTGGCTTTGTTTAAAAAAAGTTTCAATTATTGCAATAAAAAAATTGTCTGGTTATCTGAGATAGAACACAGCTCTTGTAAACTGTAAGTACAGTTAAGAATTAAGTATTAAATGTGTTACATAATTTATATATATATCGGCTGCAATACCAAATTGTCTGTTACACCTGTGCAAAGACTCAGAGATTTCGTTTTTAGCATAAAATCTCAAGCTGCGTTGAAAGATTTGCTTTTATGTTTAAACAATATTTGCTTAACGTATACTTTAAACCGGGATTAAGATAATGCTGGATCTCTCCAAATATTTTACTATATTCAAATTCTATTTATGGCCTTGGAGTCAAATTCATTACCATTCATTTATTCTCTCTCTATGATTCCAATAAGGGTTCTCGCATGGGAGAAAAAAACAACAAACGCGATACTATTGAACAGTTTTTCTTATTTATTCGTGACTTTTACATAGTCAAGCGACAAGCAAACGCTCTGCCTAATGGCAGATTCAACTTTTCTTGGTTTTTAAATGACAATAAATCTTTAATTTTTTTTCATTTTCTTGATGAAATGCGTGCTAGATATACTAAATTAAATTTTTAGGTCACAGGTTAATTTCTAGATTAAAATATGGCAATCATAAAGTTTTCATAAATAGTGAAAACGTGCGTCGATTAACTAACAGGAATGATTGTCGTGTCGCAATCATTTCAAATATATTTTCTATAAAACTTTACGTTAAAAGTTTTTCTTTTTCTTCAATTTTCTCATACTGCGATCCTTTTGAAACAATTTACCAGCAGGAGTCTTTCCCTGCCGTGCCTGGTGTCAAATCTACACAAACACTACTCACCCCTTTCATCCTTCCTAATCTACAACCCTCCTTGACGAACACAATACGCGCGCATACAGGGGATATCTCTGAGTGACTGGTTATATATATAAAAAAAAAAAATTTCTCAGAATTCTGACTGTTCTGGGAGCATTAAACCTATCTTAGTTCTTAGTGCGATGAAAAGCCAGCATCAGAAATGAAATCAATTTTCAAACATGTCACGCCAGAATTTCGAATATACATATGCACAGAACTGTATGTTATGTTAGGTGTGTAACTTTGCTTCTGGTAATTTTTTTCTCGGCATCCGGGGCTTTATTGCAACATTCGGCATATGTGTTAATTTTCGTCTCAGTGGTGCCAGTTGTTGTTAATGCTGGTCCCCAAAGTTGGTTTCATTCGATTGGAATAAATCGCTTAGGTCTATGGTCCACAGTAATAGTTCGCGATCGTGGTTGTTTGTGCGTTCGATATCGAAATGCAATCATTGGTCACGCGACAATGTCGAGAAATCCATCACAAAGCAATTTGACCTTCAATCGAGAATAACTTTATAATGCGGACATAAATCGACTGAAGTATGTTGAAAACCGGTCAACCTTGCTGTATAAGGCCTAGATTTGTTTATTTCCATTGCCGCACACCGGTGAAGCCATCTCTTGGAGAACGAAACACCTATTGTTAAGTGTTACAAAGCGGGGGGGCCCCCGCTCCCCACTGATTCTCTTGTTCCTTTTTGCTATGGTAATAAAAAAAATGATTCCAAAAGATCGAAAATTGATCGCAATCAATAATGAAAATTGAATCGATTGTCACATAAATTCTTTTTTTGATCGACAAGAGTGAAAATTCAGCTTCAGAAAAATATCGCAAATAATCTCTTTTCCAACATATGCTTCTCATATAAAGCAACTTTTCTTTAATTTTTAATAAATGCCATGAAATGATCTGCGTGCGACATGAATTCAATCTCCGACCGTTACCTGTACACATTTGAAAGTTTTGGAAACAATTTTACTCTCTTTTTCAGATACATATATATGCATGCAAACAAACAAACATACCTATATACATGCGTGCATACATACGTAAACACACGTACGGTGGCAAATACGGTATTTGTTTTTAAAAATTCAATTTGAATATTTTCTCTCCCTTACTTTTGTCTTGTACGGTCTTCCTCTTGCGAATTCCATTTCAATATTAATTTCGAAATAAATTACATCGGTACAGGTTATCCGATTGGTATTATTTTATTATGTTTATAAACAGTAATGTGCAAATTTTTGGACGCATGTTATGAACAAATAAATAAATAAAGCTTCAAATCACTTTAAAACGAACACCGCTCGTATAAGGCGTTAAGAGTACTACGGCCCAGTTATGTAAAATGTTCTTTATAATTTATAAATATGAAGAAAACTTCATGTTGTATATAAAAATATACCACTAAGAGGCTCTTTGCAAACTGACTTACTTAACTTAATCAATCGACTGAGATTGATTTCATTCTCTAAATGAATATAAGCAGCAATGGATGAATATTGTGAAGAAGTGAAAGAGCAGATCCGAAAAGAGAGATATATCAGCAGATGAAAGGAGGGTCAAATACGCAAAATGCGCCGACGTGAATATAGGCGTGGGTAAGTGAACAAATCGAACAGAAGAAAAGGAGGTAGATATAAGAGCGGACGGTTGAAGGACATATAGACAAAATGAATAACAAATATATCGACAGAGGGATAATGGAAAAAACAGATAGATCGTATGCGAAGAAAATTATGACCAACTTGACACTTAGCAGAGAAGAAATGAACGAAAATGTATGTAGACACAATGTAGACCGAGTTTGAAATGGACAACTCTGCCAGGCAAAGAAAACAACAATCAAGCCGGAGAGACAACGGGTAAGCAGGCAGATAGGATGTGAATGAAAAGATGGTTGGAAGTACAGGTAATCGAAAGAATAAATCAAAAGGTGATCTAAGAGATGAATGACCAGACAAGGAAATGGTTAGAGAGATGAATTGATGTCCATGAATGGACGGCGAAAGAACATTTGACAAACGGATAATCCACGGAACGGGGGGAAGTAAATAGACGTTGAAAAGTATATGAACAACCAGACATATAAATATATAGAGAAAAATGAACTGGCAAGGCGAACGCCAAGCAACGAGAGGGGGAAGGAGATGCATGCAGGCGTTAACTGAACAGATGAACGGACAGAAAAATTGGCAGAAAAAAGAAACCAACTGAGTAGAGAGATAGACCGATTAAAAGCCAAAATAGACGAAGAGACAGCTGGACGGATAGAAAGTGCAAAGTGCTTAATATGCTGAAAATCTTAACCTAATCAAGTTTATAGATTCTAAGAAGATGTTAAATGCAAACGAATGTTTTTATCTGTACCGGAAGCTATGAAAATTCGATCTACATCTACAGCTGTGAATAGTGAGCTATAAGATCGTATACCGGCATTATTCATAACTGCATGCAAGACGCATGTTATCAATCTCTTAGTGGGTTTAAATCTACTTTTTGACTTAATGTACATTTTCTTCTTTTTTTTTTTTCAATTTTCAAAATTCTATTAATTATATCCACAAATCTATACACGATTTAATGCTGGTCGCACTGGATGATATTTATTTAGTTTACGATTTATGGAATTTATGCACATCTCTAGATTTCAATATACACACGTTCGCACTTTACTATTATCTATGTATCCACATATATATGTATATATATGTACATATATATATATACACGTACTCTACGGTATACTCGTTCAATCAATGCTTATTTAGATTTGTTACGTTTTACTCAACCTAATGATCACTCGCGCAACTCTCTTCGGCATCATTATGCACATGTACATGCTTGTTGTATTCATGTAGTGGTTACAGTTTTATTCTATTTTTATTATTTTCTAAACACGAATGCCCCTCAAAATATGTTTGTATGTTTATGTGTTTGCGGAGATTCTAACGAGAGCGCATATACTGTACTTTCTATTTTATTTTGTTTTGTTTTGTTTTTTTCGTTTTGTTCTGTTTGGATTGCCGTTGTTGTTGTTGTTGTTTTTGTTGTTGTCGTTGCTTTTTTTTTTTTTTTATAAATCAATTGATATTTTTCTTAAATTGCATGAATACGCGCGCGTTTGCGTTCTCTTCTCTGGACTACGGGCTATGGCTATTCTTTGTTTGTTTCTTTTCATATTTCTTCTTCTTTCGTTTGTTTTTTCCTATAGTATTATGCATACATGCTTATCCACACATATATATATATGAGTATTTGAAAATGTTTTCTTCTTTTTTTTTTTTATAACAGTTTTCTAAATAATAAAAAAAAAAAAAAAATAAATGAATAAGTTTAGTTAGTATTAGTTTTGTATTTTGATTGTTATTGTTATTGTTATTGTTATTTGTAACGGTATATCTATGATTGTGTTGTTACAGTGCTAGCAGAGAAAACGTACACAGTAGTGATCAACAACAACAGCCACAACAACAGCAACAGCAACAGCAACAGCAAAATCATCAAGCTAGGTCACAACAACAGCAACAACAACAGCAAAAATCTCAACGCCAGCAGCAGCAACATCATCAATCGCATCAGCACTTACTGCGTCAGTCGCTGATCAACCTTACGAGTGCTCAGACCGCTAATACGTACGCTGCCAGTTATTCCGGTAATAATAACAATTACGAACGTAGTAGCAATTACGTTAACACCGCCAATACCGTTGACGGACTTCAGGCAACACAGACGGAGTGCGCGAACTCCGCGCGTGATTTATTACGTAAAACGTCAAGCGATAGTGGTAGTAATTTACATAAAACAAAATCGTGCAGCTGTGAGTCTTTAAAGACTGTCTCTGCATCTGAAGCCACATCAACAACTGCCGCCGCTGCTGCTCTACCCGCCACTAAATCGTTCCAACCTTATACCAATACAAGCAGTGGCAAAGGAACAACAGGGGACGGCCTTCTAGCTGATCTAGACAACGAATGTCTTTTGATTGATGCCAGTAAGGATCGTAAGACTAGCAAAAGTGCCAGCGATAATATTTATGTACACCACTACAGTGTAAACGGTGGTGGTGTTAACGCTAGTGCAGCCGGTGATGATCGACGTTCGCTGCACTACGAACACATTAGTAATCGTTACAGTGGTGTCTCCAAACAAAACTCATACGATAGTAGCTCACCTCAGCAATTATCCTTAGCTGACACTCGTTACCGTCAGTATTTGGATAGTACGAATCCTCCCAGTCGTGTCTCGAATAGTCCCAACAGTAAAAGTAGTAGTCTTGCGATAGCCGACGATTATCCCGATTCCCATGCTCATGGTGATTTCAAGCATTTAGTTGTACATAATTTCAGTAATTCCGATCCGATAGCTCAGACCAGCTACAGTAATCATTATTTAGAGGACGCGGCAAGCAAGGCTTGTCCGTTGCTAAAGAGCCATTACAGCGATTGCAATATTTATGGTAAGAACGAGCTTGATGTTGCATCGTTAACCGATAAACAGCAATTAGTTAATAAAGCCTATATATTCAAGTGCATTGCCAGTAGTCCTTCGTTTTTAAAGACCAATAAAATCAAAGAGCAATCTCGTAAATTGCGTAACTTATCATTGAAAACACGTCCAACGGCTAAAAAGAAAAATCAAATATTAGCGAAAACGAACGCTGTATCAGATAATTCATTACATCCGGGTGATAAATATTTGAATTTGTATTTGGTTGAAAAGAGAAACGGTCAACAGCAACAACAATCAGCAAATACCACGTTCACCTCACCGTCAGTGGCTTCCGGACAGCAAGTGCCCAGCAGACATAGTACACAGTATATCGTAAACGGGGCGCTTAAGTCCGTTTATCCCACATATCGTTCCTCAATTAAAAGTGAAACAGCCGTTAGTGCCATCTTATCCTCAGCCGCCGCCGCCGCAGCCACTGCCAATAGTAGTGAGCAACAGCAAACGCAAAAGCAGCAATTACCACATTATCTTGGCGCTAAGCAGCAGCAGCAGCAGCAGCAGCAGCAGCCGCATTATAAACAAGCCAAAATTAATAATAAAGGCTGCAATCTGGTCAATAACGGTAATAAACTTAGTGTTAGCACTAATTCGTGCAATCGTCTGCATGCTGGATCACCTCATGCCATATCGCCAAAGAGCTCCTTATCGAGTAACGGACACCTTAATAAATATTGTTTGACGGATATAAGTCGCCGAAAAACCGAATTCAACCGTCAACTTAGCGCACCGACTGATTATACGCATCATTCCTCTAGTAACGGATCGCATCATTCCGCTAACGAGGTTGCGTACGGTGAGTCAACATCAACAGTCGCTAGTGCGGGTAATAAAAATCAACATTACCAGCAGCAGCAACAGCAACAACAACAACAACATCAGCAACAGCAGCAACAACAACAACAACAACAACAACCGTATCAACAACATCATACACATTCACACAGGCGCCATCAATATCATCAACAACTGCAGCAACCATTACAGCCGCCGTCGTCATCTTCAGTAGCAACAACAACAATAATTACAACAACAGCCGCAGGAGTTACGACAGCAGCACCACCAACAGCTCATTACACAGCTGCAACAGTATTAACGAAACCAACATCGAACTCGTGCACAAACAGTTTTAATAGACGCCATATAAAGCGTCAAAAAAATACTAAATTAAATGAAAGGTAAGTAAATTCTAACTTCTAGTGATTTGTCTAAAAAGTATTAAGTCTAACTTGGCAATGTGTATGCAAGTCATACATAAAAGAGGTAACAATTAAATCAATAGAATAAATGTACAAAACCAAGTTGGTCTTCTTAAGTCTTTTTAGCCCGCTTTTAGTTACCGTCAATTAGATAAAAGAAAAATCTATATAAACCTTACTGACAGAGAGATAAGCTTAATAAGGTTAAAAAAAAAGTTATGATATCCTATTATCGAATCAATGAAATGAATGGAATTATTGGTCTTCCAATGATTTGAAAATTTTTTTTTTTTGATTAAGTCAGGGAATCTAAAAAATGATTAAAGCTAACCCATGTGTTAGTATTAGTTAGCCTTCAAAAGTTCATTATGTTAAGAGCAAAAGAAACAAACGTAAGAATGTTATTTTTTCTATATGGCTTACAATTTTTTAGACTACTTCAACTAATTACACCTTGTGGAGGCACGTGCGTTAGACCGGAAGCTTAAATACCAGCCCCAATACGTATATGATTTTGTTATTAAAAGCAGTTTAATGTGTGTATATTTGTTACATTTTTGTTTGTCTATGCAAACGATTGCAGCAATAGATATATATATATATATATAGTGGTATCAGATGAAAAATATTTTCGAAAAAGATCCGATTAAAATCAAATAGAAAGCAAAACAAAAAAATGAAAATGTCATAAAACTACTTGCGTAAGGCATTCAACTGTTTGCTCATACATAAACAAACTCGCACGCACACACAGAAATGCTAATTATTTCAATTTACAAGCTAGTCGTAGCATACAGCACATAACACACGCGCAAACACGTGTTTGTTCACTCCCATACACAACAAAGTTATTTGCATAAACAAAAGCCGCTAACTAATAGAGTGCCTTCATCATAAAATGCAAAGCTAGGCAAACGTGTACTGAGAACTCAAGAGAAATTTTCGCGTTTTGAAACACCTTCAACAATTTGACAATTATTTTTCCAATTCACCTACGCCCTATAGATTTGGTTTAGAGATTTATGTTTCAATGCCATAGAATTCGAAGTTCGCTCATTTACTTCTCCTTTAATTTGCCAGAATTCGAAGTTAGCTCG